TCAGTCTGTCAGTAAGCATTTATTAAGCCCCTACTGTATATTAGGCACTGTGCTAAGTGCTAATTATAGAAAGGCAAAACCAAACAAAAACCAGTCCCTGATCACAGTCTAATGGGAGAGATGATATGCAAACAGCAATGTGCAAACAGGATAGCTAGATAGAGATATAGAACCAATTGGAAATCATCAGCAAAGGAAAGGCTCTAGCATTAAGAGGGACTAAAAGCTTTTTTGCAGAAGGTCAGACTTTAGCTGAGACTTGAAGAAAGCTGGAGAAGTCATATGGTAAAAATGATGAAGGAGAGAAGTCCAGGCATGAAGGACAGCCAGTGAAAAGACATGAAGGTGCGAGATGGAAGGTCTTGCCAAGGAAGAGCAAAGGAGCCAGTGTTACTTGGGAGTTGGGGGAAGGAGGGCCTGAGTAAGGTGGAAGGAGACTTGGAAAGGTAGGAGGTGGCCAGATTATGAAGGGTTTTGAATGACAGACAGGATTTGATATTCGATCCTAGAGTTGATAGGGAGCCACTGGAGTTTATTGAATTGGGGGGGGGATATAATCAGACCTACACTTTAGGAAAATGAATTTGACAGCTAATTAAAGGATTCATTGGGAAAGGAGAAGGCTTCAGGCAGGGAGATCAACAAGAAGCCTATTGCAGCAATCTAGGCATAAGGTGATGAGGGCCAAAGTTAGGGGAGAAAAATGGTGTGGAGGTAGAAACAACAGGTCTTGGAAACAAATTGGATAAGACGGGTGAATGAGAGTGAAGAGTAGAAGATGATACAAAGATTTTGAGCCTGGGCAACTATGAGGATGGTGGTGCCTTCAATGGTAATAGGGAAGTTAGAAAGAGGGCGGGGTTTTAGGGAAAAGATAAGGAGTTGAGTTCAAGATGTCTAATAGAATGATCCAAGATAATTCCAGAGGACCCTTGATAAAAAAATTCTATCAACCTCCAGAGAGTGAAGCATGCTTTTTTCACTTTATCACCCTTGCTTTTTTTTTTTTCAACATGGCGAACATGTATTGCTTGCCTTCTGAGTGGGAGAGGGGCCGGAGGAAGGGAGAGAAATTGGAACTCAAAACATAAACAAAAAATGAATGTTACAAATAAATAAATAACTAAACGAAATGAATGAATGAATAGATAAATAAAAAAGATGTCCAAATAGGCAGTGAGAGACATGAGGCTGGAGGTTAGGGCTGGATAAATAGATCCAGAACCATCAGCATAGAGATGATAATTGAATTCATGGGGGTGGATGATAGCACCAAGTGAAATGGTATAGAGGGAGAAGAGAATAAGGCCCAGAACAGAGCCATGGGAGATATCCGCCGTTGGAGGTCTGACCTGGAAGAAGATGAAGCATGAGAAGATGAAGATGAAGAATGAGGAACGGTGAGATCCACAGGAGGAGAACTAGGTGAGAGTAGCATTGGGGATGATCATAGATGTAGAGCTTCGCAGGACCTCAAGAGACATCTAAGTCAACCACTTCCTTTTGCAAATGAGGAAACTGAAGCACAGAGAAATTCAACGTCTCATCCAAGGCCACGCAATTAGTAAGGGACAGTATCAGGATCGAGGCCCAGGTCCTCTGACCTCTTTTCACTGTAACACACTGATGCAGTCATCAGTCACACCTTTGTACAGGACCATACAAAAGGGCAGAGTGTCAGACAGACACCTGGAAGTAAGGAGAGGCAACTGTAGAGGACTGTTGCTACTGACTGCTCATGGGCCCAGCCGCTGACTCTGCTGTCCTCTTCTGGGGCCGAACGTCTCTGCCGCTTGATCTCCACATGGCCATTAAGTCCTTATCCAGGGTCCACTCTTATCTCTGCTCCCCTTCACTGGCCTTGCCATGACTTTCTGACTTCTTTTATAAGCCTAACACTAAGATATTACCTGAGCAAAAATAGTTGGATTCAGGCAAATCATCCCTAGGGTTAAGATTTAATCTTGGACTTGTAGAATGGACCTCTAAGTACCCAGGCCCCATCAAGACAAGGTCCTCAGTCATCTCAGTGAGATGTTAATGAGCATGTCCGTACTTGCTACACGAAGATATAATCAAAGTACTCAACAAAGGTCTCAGCTTTTATATTACTAGGAGATAAGCTTGGGTCAAACTGTTGGAAGAGACTTCAGAGACCCAGATCTAGTCCAACCTTTTCCCTTTTTTCCTATCCACGCCCCCCCCCACACTCACCCATTTCGCATATGGAAAAACTGAGGCACAGGCAAGTTAAATAACTTAGCCAAAATCAAACAGCTGGTAGAAGAAGCAGGTCTCTGGACTTCTAGTTCTGAGTTCTTCGTACTGTATCTGGCTCACCTTCTCCTTCCTCAGAAAGTCTTACTGGAAGAATCTGTGGACCAAGAATCAAGCTCTAGGTTCAAGTCCTGATGGCCTCATTGTGAAAGTCACATTTCCTCTTGGGACATCACTTTCTTCATCTGTACAATAAAGCTATTGAACTCAATCCACACTTAGGTTCCTTCTACCTCTGATAATCTATGATTCCACTGTCAATAGAGGTCACCTAAGCAGCATAGTGGACATACTGTTCAGGCCTGGAGTCAGGAAGATTTGAGTTCAAATGCAACTCAGACACTTATCAGCTTGGTGATGCTGGGAAAGTCACTTAACCTCTATTTGCCTCAGTTTTCTCATCGGTAAAATGGGGATTGTAATTGCACCTACCTCCCAGGATTGTTTTGAAGATCAAGCGGGATAATGATTGTAAAGCACTTAGCCTATGTGCCTGGCACATAGTAAGGACTACATAAAGTTAGCTATTATTATTGTTATTGTTATGGTATTATTAGCTTTTAAGTCCCTCAAGATTTCCTTTCTATGGCCCCTTATTTAACCTTCCCCCAGTTCCAGACTTGTCTGTGCACACAGGGACTACTCATTCTGTAGAATGTCTGAGAGCACGGGGGTGGGGGGGGGTGGAGCTGGGTGATGAGAGAAGGTCATGCCTTTCTGAAAGTAGGTGAATTCCTCAATGCTAGGCACAGGCAATATAGACCTGGTGAGATGAGTCTGAGCAAAAAAATCTCTGCCTCACTATCCTACCACATAGTTTAAAATATAAGCTTCTCCCTTTTGGGTTCAGGCTGGCCTTTTTGACTGAGTCATCCTCCTTATAAATTTTGTGCTTCTCATCCAAGTGGGGGCTGAGACCTGGATAGGACCTCTGACCCAGAACAAACTGGGGCTTAGGTAGTTAAAGAAATAAGAAGCTATAGACCCATCCTTACCCTCAAGCCATCAAAGCAGGTTTTCTGGGCCTACCTCTTATGTGCTCCAAGGCTGGCAGATCTAACTTGCTCCCAAAACAGCAGTTCCTGAGTATGCCTTAGAGGCAGTCAGGTGGGATGGGATGGCAAGGCAAGGCAGTTCTGCTGAAGCTGAGGAATGTGTTCTGATTAGGAAAGAAGTCAAATATTCCTCCAGATCACTGTCAAGAGGCAGGATCTTGGCTGATGCTCAGCTGATTCAAACCAACAAGTCTTTCCTGAATGATTACTATGGGCCCAGCCCTGTATTTGGCTAGGCTGTGAGAGAGGCAGAGAAGGGGACATGGCCCTTGTCCTTGTGGGAGCTGTTAGTCTGGCAGAAGACCAAGCAGAAACAGTCCTGGGCCCTGCCCCTGAGAAAGACTGGGGTTGAGACAGTAAGAGACTGACTCAGGCTCTCAACTCAGGGACCTCAGAACAGAGGCAAACAAAAGAGCCCACCCAGCAAGCTTCTGAGGTAAAGCTCAGTTTGCATCTGTGTCTGATCCTTCAGTAACAGGTTATACATATGGCTAGCTCTCATGACTGGTCAAGGACAGGCCTATCTGTAGGCCATGCTGCCTCAATGGAGTTCAGAGGAGAGGAGGATCAGAAGGGGCTGATATGGTCAGGGGAGGTTTCACTTAGATACTGAGGCTCGAGCTAAATTTTAAAGTAAGGGATATGAATCATGGGACTTATAGACATCCAAAAGCTGGGATATGGATCATGAGACTTATGGATGTTTAAAACTGACCCCAAAGTTCTTTCCCATGTGTCCGCCACAGGCCTGAAATAGATGAATAGATTCATTCCTTGAAGGATACTGTTCCCAGAAGGGCAATTAGGTGGTGCAGTTTGATTGAGTGCTGGGCCTGGATTCAGAAAGATCTGAATTCAAATTTGACCTCAGACTCTTAATAGCTGTGTTACCTTGAGGTAGTCTACTTAACTTCTGTTTGCCTCAATTTCCTCATCTGTAAAATGGGTTGTGACTAATTTACCAAGGACTGTCATGAGTATCAAATGAAATAACAATTATAAAGCACTTAGCACAATCCTGGCACATTGTAAATGCTATATAAATGTTAGCTTTTTATCATTATTATTATTCTAGAAACCATTATCAAAATGTACACTACCCAAGAAGGGCATTGACTGATTTTTATATTAGTTATGATCAGGGAATTGAGGGAATAGGGCACAGAATAGGTAGATGTTGGAGGGGAGGAGAGGGGTAGGGCCAGATCCTAGGCGCAGGGGTGGTGAACCTGCGGTCTTGAGGCCACATGTGGTCCTCAAGTGCAGCCCTTTGACTGAATCTAGACTTCACAGAACAAGTCTGGATTCAATCAAACGGTCGCATCTGAGGACCCAGAGGGCCACCCGTAGAGATAAGGGATCCTTATCCAGGATAAGGATAGTGGGGGAGGAAGCTACAAAATTTACAATTTGGATCCATTTTCTGAAGTTCTTTTCCCAATTCTCTAGGCCTTTGGAGACGAGGCATTCAAGATAGGGACAGAGCTAGCCACAGGAAGGAATATCCCACCATGGCATTGCCAACCTTTGAAATCCAGAGACTGGCTGAAGCAGCAGATTTTATACCTTTCTGTGAAGTCATTGCAGGAATTTCCCAACCTCACCAACAACACAGTTGCACTTCTGCAAAGGAGGAGGTGGGTGGTTTTAATTCTCTTTCCTCAAGGGAAACTAAAAGAGAATGTTGAATGAGAGACTCTGCTGAAATAGTTTCCTGGGCCAGAGGAGCCAAACAAAACAGAGACCTGTAACAAGATCAACTGCTGCTTCCAGTCAGAGACTCTGACACCCCAGATGTAGCTTCGACAGCAAGGTAAATTAAGTCAATTCACTGGCCTGGGGCTGGGTTGTGGAAGGATACCCTAAAACACCCCCCAAATAGGTAGCAACTAAGCCAGAAAGACTCGTTTCTAACTCAAAGGCATGTTTCTTCGAGTTATTTGCTGAAACACACATAGAAACAAAGATTTCAACGTAGTGTCTTTTTCCCTTCTTGTCTTAATAAGACATGGCTAAATTTTTGTTTATTTGAAAAACATTGGTGTGTATGTAGAGGGGGGAGTATGACTGAGCTGTAGGCTAAATATAAAGCAATAGGTTATTTTGGCTGCCAAAAAAGGAGGGGGGAGTGTTGTATTGGCAGGCAAAATGCCCAGGAGGAGAAGGTAAGAGAGCCCTTGTCTTCTGCTTTGGTCTGGTCACATCTGGGGTATTGCGCTCAGTTCTGTGAACTACAGTTTAGGAAGGACATTGATGGGTTGTAGAGTATCCAGAGGTGGTGACCTGGGTGGTGACAGGTCTAGCTATGTCTCATTAATAACTCACTCATGTTACACTAGCAATAACTTAATATGGCTTGCCTCACAGAGATGTTGCAAAGGCAAAATGAAGCACAGATAAGAAAACGCTTTGAAAATTGTAAAGTACTTGCCATGTATAAGGGGTTATGATTATTAGTCCAATTATTGTATTTAAAAGGAAATCCTGATTTTGTACCATACTTTGTCCACTAATTAATGAAGGTAAGGCTACAGGGTTAAACAGATCCACTCCAGTCCAATTTCTACCTCAAGTGGCCAAAGTGGTTTTACTAAAGTATACCTAAAGTATAGGTCTGATCATGTCATCCTTCTATGAATAAACTCCAGTGACTCCCTATTGCTTATGGCATCAACTATGAAATCCTTTGTTTGGCGTTTAAATTTCTTCGGGACCTGGCTCCTTCCTATCTTTCCAGCCTTCTCACACTTTAGTCCACCTGCTATTGCTTGTACATGACACTAACATCTCTTATCTCTGGCTTTCCTCATTCCTGGAATGCTCTACCTCCTCAACTCTGCCTCCAAGTGTTTCTGACTTCTTTCAAGACTCAACTCCAATCCCACCTTCTGCAGGAGGCCTTTCCTGGTCCCCCCAGCTACTAGTACCTTTCGCTCTGAGACTACCTTCTATACAGTTTGTATATACCTAGTTACATATATATTGTCTCCTCCATTAGAATGTGAGCTTTTTGAGGACAGGGACTATTTTTAATTTTCCTTGTATCCTCATAGCAAATGCTAAATAAATGTCTGTTTCCTGACTGACTGAATCCATACCTGAATAAGAATCCCTTCTACAGTATACCTAACAAATATAGTTAGGAATCTGTAATTTTAATAATTAATCATTTTAATAAAGTCCAGTAATCTGGCCTTTGCTTGAAGACCTCCAGGGAGGAGAAACACGCTATCTCTCCAGGCAGCACACTCTACTTTGGGAGTAGGCCCTCTAGGTCCTCAAGTGTGGCCCTTTGACTGAGTCCAAACTCCACAGAACAAATCCCCTTAATAAAAGGATTTGTTCTGTAAAATTTGGACACAGTCAAAAGGCCGGGCCACACCCAAGGACCTAGAAGGCCACATGTGGCCTCAAGGCTACAGGTTTCCCCACCGCTGGAAAGTGTAGCCTTCCCAGATTTATCATCACTATGCTTAAGTAATCAGTTTTCTTTATGCACTACTCTTTGAAGAGACCAGACCAAAGTGCAAGCAAGCAAATAGATAGTAGAGAGTTTTTGTTTGTTTTAACAAAGAAATTTGAGGGTCAGTGCATCTAGGAGCACTGGATTTGAATTAGAGGAGCTACGTTCAAATCCAGCCTTCATGACTTATTTCCTAACGCAAGTCACTGAACTTCTGTAGCACCTGCTTCTTCATTTGTCAAGTGAAGGAGCTGTATCAAATTATCTGTAAGGTCCTTCCCACCTCTTTTGCTATAGATACAATTTCTACATAGGGACATAAGAGCAGAGATCACTACCTGTATCCCTCTGATAATAATTGATGGTCTGCAAGGGCCTTCTGAAGCATGAAAAAAGGTAAGTAGGAAAAATAGACTTAGGTTTTAGAAAGCTCTTCAGCCAATAGCATTGACACAGAGACCTTTTTGGTAGCTCACTGGATATAGTTATGTCAAGAAGCATTTATTCAGTACTTGCTATGTGCCAAGCTAGCAGTGTGCTAAGCACTAGGGATTCAAAGGCCGTGTGTGTGTGTGTGTGTGTGTGTGTGTGTGTGTGTGTGTGTGTAGGTGTATATATAGTCCCTGCCCATCTCCCTTCAAGGAGCTCACATTCTAATGGGGAAGAAAATAGGCAAATAGGAACAATTGCAGGTAATCTCAGAGGCAAGGCAGCAGCATTGATGGGGACAGGGAAATGCCTCTTGAAGAAGGTAGGATTTGCACTGAGACTCAAAAGAAGCCAGGAAAGCCTGATGGTGTAACTTAGGAATGAGCGCATTCCAGGAAGGAGCTGAGGAGGGACAGATTTCCAGGCAGTGACTTAGGAGGAAGAGCAATATGTGGTTGAAGAACAACCACTGAAAAAGTCAGGAAATAGAGTGCCATGTTCAAGGAACCACAAGGCAGTCACTGTTACTGGATCACAGAGTATGTGGAGGAGTCAAGTCTAAGAAGACTGGAAAGGTAGGAAGGGGCCAGGTTGTGAACATCTGAAAAAACAAACAGTGGATTTTATGTCTGATTATGGAAGTAATAGGAAACCTTTGAGGTTTACTGAGTAGAAGTAGAAGAAATTGTCAGACCTGAGCTTTAGGGTAAGCTGGAATGGGGAGAGACTTGAGGCAGGGAGGACAACCAGAAGGCAATTGAAATAATCCAGGCACAAAATGCTGACAACTTGTATTAGGGTGGTGACTGTTTTAGAGGAGAGAAGGGGATTGTATATGAGAGATGTGGTATATGTTAAAATTATGGGACTTGGCAACAGATCAGATATGGGAATAAAAATGAGGAGTTGAAAATAACACTGCGATTTTGAGCCTGTGTGACTAGAAGATGGTGGTGTCATCAATAGTAATAGAAAAACCTAGAAAGAGGGGAAGGTTTTAGGGGAAAGATAATGAGTTCAGTTTTAGACATATTGAGTTTGAGATGTCTACAGGACATTCAGTTTGATAGGTCCAGTAGACAGTTGGAGATGTGAAACTAGAGGTTAGAAGAGCGATTAGGGCTAGATAAGAAGATCTGAGAATCTCAGCATAAAGATAATAGAATCCATAGGAGCTAGTGATAGCACAAAGTGAAATAGAATAGAGGGAGAAGAAAAGAGGGCCAAGAACAGAGCCTGTGGGGGACACCCATGGTTAATGGGCATGACTGGATGAATTCAGCAAAGGAGTCTAGGAAGGAGAAGTCAGACAGGTAGGAGAAAAACCAGGAAAAATTCTAGTCCCAAAAACCTAAGGATGGGGGAAGACAGTGATTGACTGTGAGAGGATGTGGAGAGATCAAGAATGAAGAGGACTGAGAAAAGATTATTAGGTTTGGAGATTAAGAGATGATTGGGGGCTTTGGAGAGAGCAGCTTCAGTGACTGAGGTCAGAAAGACTGAAGGGAGTTAAAAAGAGAGGAAAAGGAGAGGAATTTAATGTAGACAGCTTCCTCAAGTTGCTTAGCCATGAAGGGGGGAGGAGAATTATTGGACGATAGCTAGCAGGAATATTCGGATCAAGTGAGGGTTTTTGTAAGGATGGGAGACATGAGGGGTATACAGGGAGAGACTGAAGATTAGTGAGAGAGTGGGGGTCCAATATATTAGAGAGAGGGTACAATCTATTAGAGAATTCAAGATAGAATAGGATTAAGGGTGTATGTAGAGAGATTTGTCTTAATAAAAATAACATTTATACATTGCTTTAAGGTTTACAAAGCACTTTACAAATATTAATTCACTTTATCCTCTCAACGACCCTATGTATCTTCATTTTATAGCTAAAGAAATTGAGGCAAACAAAGGTTAAGCGACTTGCCCAGGGTCACACAGCTGGTGTTTGAGGCTGGATTTAAACTCAGGTCTTCCTGACTCCAGGTCCAGCACTCTCCACTGTACCGCCCAGCTACCTGGAGGTTACCTGTCTTAGCAAAGCAAAGAGACACTTCTTTATGTGAGATAACGAGGGAAGATATCTGAGTGTTTTGAGATAAGGCACAGTGGTCTTCACTGGCCATTTTTTTCCCCTTTCTACTATGCCCAGCACAGCCTTATTAATGCCAGGTGCTTAAGAAATGTTTGTTGAGCTGAGCCAGATTTTCATCAGAAAATTCAGTCACTTAAGTAAACATCAAGTTACTTGAGTTCAGGGAGAAGTAAGCACTGATTACATTTGGAATGAAAAGGATACTATGAGCATTTCATCTCTTTTTTTCCTTGTCTATAATGTCCCTTCTAGCTTTAGAGATAAGATCCTGTTATCCTGTGACCTTCCATAGTACCACGGCAGGAAAGCAGGAGACAAGTTTAGGGCCATCTATAGAGTACCAACTTCAAGGAAATGTTGGATAATTTTTTTTTAATTTAAGAATTAATTTAAGAATTAAGCCTCTGAGTATCTGAATTGCTCTTTAACAGGAAGTCTTTTTAGGAGGGCATTGAAAAGCTCACCTAAAAGAAATCTTTGGTGGCTTCCAGGTCAAATCATTCATTCATCAGATCTTGAAATATCACAACTCTAAGGGGCCTTAAAGTTACAGGATCATAGATATACAGGCCAACTAGTCCAGCCCCCTCATTTTACTGGAAGGAAGGAAACAAGTATTTATTAAGTACTTATGATGTGCCAGGCACTGTAGTAAGCAATTTACAAATATCTCACCTACTGCTCACAACAACCCTATTATTATCCCTATTTTACAGTTGAGGAAACTGAAGCAAACAGTAATTAAGTGACTTGCTTAGGATCACACAGCTAGTGTCTAAGGCAAGATTTGAACTGAAGTCTTCCTGATTCCCAGCCCAGTGCTCTATCCACTGAGCACCCAGCTGCCTCTACTAGTCAAGAGAACTAAGACCCTGTGAGGTTTAGTGCCACACAGCCAACAAGTTGTAGTGCTGGAACTGGAACCCTCATCTCCTGATTGCAAATTCAGTATTCTTTCCACTATGCCAGATTGCTTCTTCAATAATTAGTTCACTAATTTATTCTGCAAACATTTATTAGCCTCCTATGTGCAGAGCCCAAGGAACACAAAGATCTGTCTTTAAGGAGCTTACCTTCTAGTGGGGGAGAAAAGGTGCAAATAATGCAAATATGCAAATAATATATTAGTGATGTATTATAGTATTAATATTACATAATATATTAATAATGTATTATACTATTAAAATAAGAATATAACACAACACATTAATAATGCAAATAATATAATACACTATAATATATAATATAACCCGATATAACATATGTGCAGATAATGATAATACAAGGCAGGATGTGAAAAGGATAGACAGGGGCAGCTAGGTGGGACGGTAGATAGAACACTGGCGCTGGAGTCAGGATGACCTGAGTTCAAATCCGGTGTCAGACACTTGACACTTACTAGCTGTGTGACCCTGGGCAAGTCACTTAACCCCAATTGCCTCAAAAAAAAGGATAACAGAGCTGGAAGCGTCCTTTGGGATCATCTATTCCAACCCTTCATTTTACAGGTGAGGAAAGTGAGGTCCAGGACTTGCTCAGGGTCACAGAGGTAGGGGATATCAGAGGCAGGATTCAGACCAAAACTCTTCCATTTCCTGTCCATGTGTCCTTTCTGGAAGCAGTGCCCAGGCAGGTATCAGTGGAAGTCATAAAAGTCCCACACCCCCATACTTGTGTGATCCATTCCCAGAATAACCAGAAGGAAAAGACCCGATGGAGCCTGCACCCTGGGCTTGTCACAGAGGGAGACTTGGTGATCTGGTGGGCAGGGAAGAGGAGGGGAGCTGTGAATCAGAAAGAGAAGTAGCCAGGTCTGAGGATCGGGGGGACCTCATGAGAGAAACCTTCTTCTTTATACTAACAACATCCCTGGCAATACAGAGGTCAAGGAAGATTCAGAGGGGTCAAAGGGCACCAAGAGTAGCAATGTTAGTCACTTTCCCCATGGGACAACTGGTCAATGAAAATTGCCCTGCACTTGGGAGAGACCTAGAGACCAGACTTACAGTCTTATTCTGTCACTAGCCAGTCACTTATGTTCTATGACTTACAGAAATCATTGCTTTCCAAGGTACTTTCCAGCCTTATCTATAGTTTTATCAATGACTCAGTGGAAGCTAGAACAATTATCAACTTTGTGGATGAAAGAAAGTTGGAAGGGAGACATGCTGGATCCAAAGTCTAGATCCAAAAAAATCTTGACAGGCTAAAGTCATGGAATGGACCTAATAAGATGTAGGGATGAATGTCCCATCAACGGCACAGATGCAGAGTTAGAGGAGGCATGGCCAGACGATAGCTCTTGTGGAACAGGCCACGGCTTCTAGAGAGCCTTCAACATGGTGATCTGGCAGCCAGAAAAGCTCATGTGATGTTGAGCCAAAGGAGATGATAGTTTCGTCGTCCTCTGCTCTGGCCAGACCACACCTGCTGTTCAGTTCTTGGGCACCATATTTTAGGAAGGGCATGAACAAGCTTGAGGATCTCCAAAGGAGGGTAATCAGGATATTGGAAGTCACAGAACACAGACAAAGCAACTAGGAATGTTTAGTCCAGAAAAGAGGAGTATTTGCAGGGAGTATAATTTGTCTTCAAGTGTTTGAAGGGATGTGATACGAAAGAGGGATTGGCCTTGTTCCACCTTGCATCCCAGGATAGAACTAGGAGCAAGTGGACATTTCAAAGGCAGATTTCAGCTAGATCTAAGGAAACTTTCCCAGAGCTATCCTAACTGGGATGGGCTACCTGGGAGCGACTAAGTTAACTCTCAGCAGAGATGTATGAGAGGAAGTTAGATGACCTCTGACATCCCTTCTAATATTAAGACTATGTGAATATCGAAGGCCTCAAATGTATCCTAGAGTAGACGTTATTCCTCTAAGCACTGAATAATTCTCAGTGAAAGTTACTGAAACTTGAAACCTTCAGGTGACAATGTTGTTGCAGGGAACACAGTAAGACTTCTCACCTTCTTCACTATCACCCTATGGGGTGGAAAGTCTTCTGCCTGTAGCTATGAGATATCCAAGAAGGAAGGAAGGGAATAAGCATTTATTAAATATCTACTATGTGCCAGGCACTTTGCTGAGTGCTTTACAAATACTATCTCATCTGATCCTCATGACAATCCTGGGACATGGATGCTATTATTAACCCCATTTTCAGTTAAGGAAATGAGGCAAGTAAGGGTAAAATGACTTGTCCAGGATCACATGGCTAGTAAGTGTCTAAGTCAAATTTGAACTCAGGTCTTCCTGACTCTGGTCCCAGTGCTCTGCTAATTGTGCCACCAAGTTGACTATAGATAGCACAGAAGAACAAGAAACCTGAAAACTAACTAACTGTAAAAAGCAAACTATACCAGTACCTAGTCTGAGGATTCCTCTCCTTCAGCTTTCTTGGCACTGAGCAAATCATTCCATCTCAACTGCCCTATGAAGTTGAGCCAGCAGGGATTATTAAGCCCATAGGAGTTCAATGATTTGCCCAAAGTCGCCAAGTAAGTTAATAGCAGAACAGGGACTGGAGCAGAGGGGTCCATTGCCTTTCCATGGCATTCCAAGGCCAGTGTGAAAACTTTTGGTCTATTGTATGGACTGATGCTGAATGAAGCGAGCAGAACCAGGAGAACGTTGTACACAGTAACAGCCACGTTGTGCAATGACTGCCTTTGATAGACTTAGCTCTTCTCAACAATGCAAGGATCTAAGACATCTCCAAAGGTCTCATGTTGGAAAATGTTATCGACATCCAGAGAAAGAACTATGCAGTTGGAATGCATATCGAAGCACACTACTTGCTTTTTTTTTTCTTATGTTTTTTTGTTTCTTCTTTCTTGTGGTTCCTCGTATTGGTTCTAATTCTTCTTTACAACATGACTAATAACGTATATGCAGAGCCTAGTCAGATTGCATGTCGTCTTGGGGAGGAAGTGAGGGAGGGAGGGGGAGAAAATTTAAAACTTAAAAGCTCATGGAAGTGAATGTTGAAAACTAAAAATAAATTTTAAAAAAAGGTTTTTGGTCTAACTGAAAGATTTGAATTTTAAGAAACTGGTTTTACTTCCTGGCCCTCTCTGGGACTCAGTTTCCTCACCTATAAAATGAAGAGGTTGAACTAGATGACCTCTAACTTCATTACTAACTCTAAATCCTATGATCCTATGTACTAACTTCTGTTCTAACACTGACCTCAGTCTTAGAAAACCCCTGGCTGTATTCAAAACACAGCTCACATGTCAAGTCTTACATGAGGCCTTTTCTGACCACCACTGCCACTGATTTACCTCCTTTTATTCACTATTAATACCAGTACACATTGCATTCCCACTAGTAGAATGTAAACTCAGGGAGGGCAGGCACTGAGTCATCTTTGTTGTTCTCTCAGCACCTGACATGGTGCCTGGCCCATGGTGGGAGTCTAATAATTATTTGTTGAATTGAATTGAATTAAGCAGGCTTACATTGTCCATGGATGATGAAACAGTTCTGTTGAACGTTGCCTGATGACACTTGAAGCAGTGCTAAGAGAACGTATTCAAGAACATTTGAAGTGCATAAGCCTGTGTATTTCTTCCTAATACATACACACATACATACACAAGGAGGCAAGTCTGGGGGACAAGAATATCTCAATCTACTTATTCAAATCCATATTCCTATGTCCTTTCACAGGCTCATTCCAGGGTCTCAGCTTCTCTATACATACATGGAGAGATCAATGTCTGTCCTTCAAATAGCCCTCTATCACCCTAACCAAGACAGAGGCATCTTTGAAGACATCCCTCATCACCTGGAGCATGACACTACTCATCTAGTCATCGGGAGAGGTCAGAATGCCCATCTCAAATTCAGGCTTCCTGGCGTCTCTCGCCACCATATATCCCTGGAGCCATATCTGGAGAAGGGAAATGTCTGCCTGACATTCTGTCTGAAAATCTTGAGCAGAAGCAGCAGTGTATGGGTGAACGGACTGACTTTAAAATACCTGGAGCAAGTCCCACTGACGGCAGTTAGCAAAGTCATATTTTCTGGAGTCCAGATGGTTATTCGTGTTGAGGGTGGTGCTTCTAAAGAAAAGTTTGCCTGCTGTATCCGTTTCAGCTGCTCACCCCTGATTTACAGGGCAAAGGCAGAAGAGACAGATGAATATGAAGCCATCCAAGAGGACCCAGAGCCCCCACAAGAGACCAGGGAGTTGAATTAAATTCCAGCATTTGGGGGCTTTTGACTTGAATTTTTAGTATCTCAGGACAACCTTTCTCCCAGCAGAGCAGGGCAAAGGAGGAGAAATAGAAATACAGCCTACAAGGGAGTTTCAGGGCAGTAAGTTTCACTAGCCCACTGGGTGAAAAGAACTCCCTTGCTGATCACAAGATCTTAAGATATTACAACGAGTTCCCTAGAGTCTAACACGGCATAGCCTGCTGGCCCAGCTCAAATAATGACCTAATTCTAGCAGGAATAAAATGTCTTAAATGGTTACATCTATGGAAGGGAACTGTATAACCTCATTTATTTTTAAAGGCCCTATGGGGCCTCCAAGATGGGGGAAACTATGTGTAAGCATGTCTTCATATATGGTGTTTGATTTTGTCCCCCCCATATCACCCTTTTGCTTAAATGTGGGTTATTTTATGTTGTTAATTTTGTGTTCTGTCTCCAGTGTGGTAGATTTAAGTTACTGAAGGAATGTACCAACATATGTAGCAATTACGTTTGTGGTGATATGAAGTTACCTATGGCTTTTAAATCCTCAACTGCACTTAAGGCTTATGAAAGTCTGTATTTAATAAAAATATATGTATTTCATTAAGTAGGCATATTTAATAGAATTTTCTGCTCTTCAACTGTATCAAATGTATCCCTGTGTTATCATCCAGAGAAAGAATGGAAATGAAATAAAAAAGGCATTAAGGGTCATGGAAGAGCCTGGATCCTAGTGTGGTAGGCAGAGCCCTGGGCTAGGAATCAGGAGACCTGGCCTCTAAGCTGTTATTGCAGCCAACTCCCTCAGACTTTGGGTATGACCCTTCAGTTCCTTCATCTAATAAATGAGGGTGTTGGGCTAAATATTCTCCCTCCTAGCTTCAGGAATACATGGCTTTCACATCTATATTTCTTCCTTTGAAAAGTCAGAGACAGAAATCAAAGGATCAAAGTTCTAGAGTGGGAAAGCAAATCAGAAGTCATGTCTTCTAACTCCCTCATTTTACATATGAGGAAACTGAGGGCCAGAAGGGCTAAGTGACCTACTCAAGGTCACATTAAACAAGCCAGTGAATGATCTCAATTAGTGACAGAATCAAGGAATCTTAAAGTTGACAGGGACTTCAGAAGCCATCTGGCTTGACCTCTTTCGACATCATTTATTTGTTAAGTATTTATTTAGCACCTCTGTTCAAAGTGGTTTACTTTGCATTGGGGCTCCCTGAAGAATAGTGATTAGCTTTTGCCTTTTTTTTTTTTCTGTATCCCCAGTGTTTAACATGCCTGGCACATAGTAGTAAGTGCTTAATAAATGTTTATTGACTATTTACTATTGAGAGGACTTGAAGATTCAAAGGCAAAAACAAAACAGGCCCCACCCTTCAAAACTTTACATTACATTGATAATATAAGGTATATGCAAAATGAATACCAAGCAATTTGGATGCATGGAAGGCACCAATAGGGAGGAAGAATGGGACCACTAAAAGCTTCATAATGGAGGTGGTACTTGAGGTTTAAAGGAAGCAAGGCAGGCATGAGGAGGGAGTGCATTCCAGGCCCATGCAAAAGCATGAAAATAGGAAAAGGGAGATTGTACACAATATCTGATAAGCAATCACAGTGCCTTAACCTGAAGATTTCCAGCAAAAGGGACCCCACTCTCCTATCATCTTTCTTGTCTTTATCCAGGAATTCAGAGTTTCCTGATCATTGCCTTCTTCCCACCTAAATGGTTCTGTCTCAATGCTTAGAGACATCAGTGCTTAGATGTATCAGGTCTTTGGCTATCTGAGCGGTGGTTAAGGGAGCACAGCTGTAGGAGGCATGATTCAAGCATGAAAGGAAAAATAACTAATGAGTCATTAGAAATAAGCTGAATATTTTCTCTCCCACTACCATCCCTTCTTGATTTCACTGTTCATGCTTAATGTGCTAAACGTCTCACTGGGGTTGAAAACAGGACAGAGACAGAATAATGTAACAGAAAGGGCCTGACCCTGAGAGGCAGCAGGCCTGGGTGGCATTCACAACCCTAACACTTAACAGCCCTGTGACCATAGATAATGCACTTACCCTCTAGATAAGCATTTGTTGCCTCTTGTGTCTGGTATGAATAATAATTGCCTTATCTATCTCACAGGGGTATTTTGTGAGGGAAGTATTTAGTAAATTTTAAATCTAAAAATGTGATAAAAATTTGTCAGGAAGGGAGGGAATGCTGGAAGGGTAGGTCCCTTTCTTCACTATTCATTCCATATCTCTAACAGCGTCCACCCAATAACCCCTTGTCCATCAGTCCGTCAATAAGCATTTATTGCCTTTTTGTTGCTGTTGTTCAGTTGTTTCAGTCATCTCTGCCTCAAGGGGGAGTCCAACAGGGGGTCAACATGCAAACAAACCATGTACAAACAAGCTATGTATAGGATAAAATGTGGATAATAAATAGAGGTGAGGCATTAGCAACAACAAAGGCAAT